CCATTGTCGAAACTGCTCCAAGGGGCTCTGATACCACTTGTTATAGTCACAGTAGGCTCCAATGGGCTCTAAAACGAAAGATAGAGTGCATAGTCGGATTTCTGCACAGCGGCTTCAAACGTTCATAGCGATCTGCTCACAACTCCAAATGACTTCATTCAACTTGGATCTAAAGCGTCGTAACGCCTAATACAAAACACAATTTAAATCGCACGCTTTGATTAAGAACTGACGACACAGCGTTGGTTTGAACGAACGGCACTATGGCAGCAACATTGTCTTAGAACACAAGATAGGAAGAGTTTGGAAGAGTTACGAGTTGGGAATGACTCGACACACACACTCGACATCATAACTCAACATTTACACATAATTATAAGCATGAAATATATATTATCCCATGCCCTCATACCATTCCATACACACACACATGCACGCACACGGACAACAAGCCGAGTGCAAACCATAGGGTTGCACCAACAAACTCCCCCTTGGATTGTTGGCCTTAGGATATGTTGCTCTCTTAGTTCAGAGCCATCCTAGCCAGCTTGCAACACTTCCAATGCTGCTGCTCCCCCAGCCTCTTAGTCATCGTGTCAGCCGGCTGCCCCGTGGTCTTCACGTACCGCAACTGAACTTCACCCGCGGTCACCATGCTCCTCGTCCAATGCCACTTCACCCTCATGTGCTTTGTGAGTCCATGCAACACAGGGTTCTTAGCAAGAGCAATGGCACCCTGGCTGTCACAGTAGAGTGGGGTAGGTCCTTGCTGCTCCTCCCCCAATTCAGCCAGCAAACGCCGCTGCCACACAATCTCCCGTACGGCACGGAAGAGTGCCATGTACTCGGACCCCACCAAGCTCAAAGCTTGGTCAACCTGCTTCTTGCTCTCCCAAGCAGTTGGGCCTCCACCAACACAGCATATGAAGCCTCGCACACTTGTCATGTCCTCTGGTTCCGATGCATATGAAGCATCCGAGTAGGCGGTGAGGAACAAACGCCCGGGTTCAACACCATCCGCGCCCTTTTGGCGCCTTTGTGCCGCCGCCGAGTATTGCAGCCCAACAGTCGGTGTTTGGACAAGATACTTGGCCACCCTCATTCCAGCTGCTACCTGCTCCTCATTAGGGCATTGCACAACCCTAGCCAGCTGCCCGGTAGCAAACGCGACGTCCGGTCGGGTGTTTACCGCCGCATACATGAGGCTGCCCACCAACGAGTGAAAACGCCGCCGCTCCTCTTCTCCAACGCTCTCCTCCTCTGGCCCCTTCACACACTTGAACCCAGAGGGAAAGGGAGTAGCCACATGACCTTCACTCTAGCCAAAGTTGGCGGCCAACGCCTCCAGGTACTTCCGTTGGTGCACTCGCATGCTCCGCTTCTCCACGTCTCGTTCGATGTGGAGCCCAAGGTAGAAGTTCACGTCACCAAGGGACTTGCACTTGAACTTGTCATGCAGCTTCAGCATCTCCTCCTTCACAAGGTCAGAGGAGGGTGAGAATATGAGAATGTCATCCACATAAACCACCATGAAGCTCCTCTGCTCCCCCTCGCCAAGCATGAACAAGGAGTGATCGGCCGTTGAGGGAGTGAAGCCGATCTCCTCCAACACTTCGCGCAGCTTCATGTACCATTGCCTAGGGGCCTGCTTCAGCCCATAGAGAGCCTTCTTCAGCTTCCACACTCTGCCACTACCATCATCAAACCCCTCTGGCTGTGCCATAAAGATCTCCTCCTCAAGAATGCCGTTAAGGAATGCCGTTATGATGTCCATTTGTTTTACCACCGATCCTTTGATGGCGGCTCCCGCGAATAGGGTTCGCAGCGTCGTCGGCTTCACCACAGGGGCAAACAGCTCCTTAAAGTCCACCTTCTCATTTTGCTGGTACCTCTTGGCTACAAGCCTAGACTTGTAGCGCTTGATCTTGCCGTCGGCATCCGACTTGATTTTGAAGAGCCACTTGGACATAATCGCCGTACGCCCCTCCGGTAGCTCCACCAATTCAAATGTGTCATTCGCCTCGATGCTCTTCAGCTCACTCTCCATGGCCTTCTTCCACTCCTCAGCATCACTACTCTCCAAAGCCTCCTTGAGAGTTGCTGGTTCTCCCGGCATCTCCACCGAAGAGAAGAACGCGAAGGCACACTCCTCATAGTCATTCTCCTCGTCGTCTCCGACCATCATTGCCGCTCCGGCCAGGGCTGTCTTGCCCTGCTTTCCCAGTGCATCATAAGTCAGCCTATTAGGGGGTTGAACTCTCCTCTTCCCCCTTCTTTTCTCCTCAGCTGCAGGGACTTGAAGGCCTTGGTGTTGCTGCGGTGTGGCTCGGATCCGTGGAGCACTCATAGTACGGGAAGGGAGTGACGGTGCACGCTCGCTCACTTGCTGCACCTCCTCCTCTTCTTCCTCTGTATCCTTGGCTTCCTCTCCCCCATTCACAAGGAAGGATTTCTTCGTGGTCGTGCTGCTGCTGCTCAGATCGAAAGGCAGCTCCACATGCTCCAAACCGGAACTCTTCACTTCCCCAAACCGCACGCCTATCTTGGCCTCATTCTCCGCCTTCCAATCCTTGTACATGAAGTTCTCCATGAACTTGCAGTCCCTGCTCACCAAGAACTTCTTGGTGAATGGGTCCCAGAGAAGCCACCCTTTGCTGTTTTGAGCCATGCCCAAGTGCACAGCCCATATCACCTTGGCTCCAAGCTTGTTGTGCCGAAGATGCTTAGGCACGAGCGCCATGCACATGCACGCGAACACCCGAAGCATATCCACCTTTGGCTTCCTTCCTAGCCTCTTCACATAGGGCACCTATTTGTCTGCTCCCACACGAGTCAAGGCTCTGTTCTTGGCCACACACGCGCTTCGGACCGCATCAGGCTAGAAATAGTCGGGTAGCCCGGCTTCAATGAGCAACCCGCGTGCCGCCTCCGTAATCGTCCGAATCGCTCGCTCGGCGATGCCGTTCATTGCAGGGGAGTATGGCATGGTGAGGGAGTGCCGAATACCATTCTTCTTCAGCCACAACCCAAAATCCTTGCTCAGGAACTCTCCCCCTCAAACGGTGCGGATTGACTTGACTAGACGGTCTTGTTGCCGCTCCACCATCGGGAACCAATCCGTCTTCAACGTTTCAGCCACGTCGCTCTTCTTGGCCAGCACATACACCCAAGTCATGCGGGTGTAGACGTCAACAATGGTGAGAAAATACTCAGCTCCAGCAGCTCCAAGCTTCAGTGGGCCCACCACGTCCATCACCACCTCATCAAGCGGTGCCTTAGCCGTCGCCTCCGAACTAGAGAACGGGAATCGGGTGAACTTGGCTTGCATGCACGTCGGGCAGCCAAGTACCTCATTGGGCTCCCCCTTCACACGTATGCCAGCAACCATCTCATTCTTCACTAGCTGCTGCAAGATGGGCAGGGCCACATGCCCCATGCGTCGATGCAAGGTGAGCCAATCACACTCCCCTGTAGCCGAAGTTGGACTGGAGAATGCTGCGCTCGCAATAGCGCCCCACATACTCTCTCCGTAGTCCTCCTCCGCTGCTGCCTCGGGGTTCTCCTCACCATTTTGCTGCTTCTTGGCTGCTGCACCACTCTCCTTAGGTTCTCTGAACTTGCTGGTCCCTCCAGGTTTGCTCTTCTTGAGCTCGATCTCCTTAGCGCGACCGTTCGCGCCATCGTCGCTACCAACCGCTCCATCCTTGGTGCTGATGCTTGCTGCCACTTGCCTCTCCTTAGACATAGGGACCACTGGGATCCGCCATATCTCGTTGTAGACATCCCTGTCCTCATGAAGGTCCCAAAGAATTCGATCGCCAAGCCTTGCGGTGTAGGTCTTGGCTCCCTTCGAGTTCGTGTCCATGCCGGCATTTGCCAACCTCCGCACGGATATCATGTTTGCAGCAAGGCTGGGCACCCAAAGCACGTTCTTGAGGCCCACCATCTTCCCATCAGCACCCTTGAACATGGCCTTGCCCATGCCTTTCACTTCTGCTCGCTGCCCCAAAGCCGATGTGACATGCTTCACCGGTGACGGTTCGAGTTCGGTGAGCAAGTCCGGGCGAGGTGTCATGCTATAGGTAGCGCCACTATCGATCACCCAATAGTCCAGGGGGTGTAGGGTCACCTTCCCCACAGCTGCTGGCTCCTCAAAGCCTTCATCCTTCTCTGGACCAGCTGGTACTTGCGTCGACACGAAGTAAAATAGACACGGGTACCAATCGTCGCTCGGGTCCTTGTTGTTGTCTCCGCTCTTCATGTTTGCAGCTCCGCCACCGCGACCGCCACGGCCTCCACGGCCTCTTCCTCTCCCTCCTCCTGCTCTTCCACCCTCCTGGCCTTGAGAAGGGGTCCATCATTCAGGGAGTTTGTAGCAATCGCGCCACATGTGCCCGGTCTTGTGGCAATAGTGACATTCACCGTCAAATCGGCCGCGACCTCGACCGTAGCTCTTGCCGTCGCTGCCACTCCCGCGGCCTCCACTGAAGTTGCTACCACCAAACCTTCCTCCCCCTCGTCCTCTGCCTCTTCCACAGCCATATCGACGGCCGAGTCAACAAGTCAAATAATTTCTGTACCCCTTCTTCAACCGCTTCATCCTCTTCAATTCGTAACGTCGCCATTTGCCGTTCTAGCACCATAGCTACCACCGCTGTTGCAGGAGCGTGTAAGCCCTTGAGAGCAGCCCATGCCTTTGGTCCCTTCTCAAGGTCATGCTGGAATGGCTTGATGTGACATATCTGGCTGCTCCCCAACGCTTGCCCTAGTAGGAGGTAGCCTTGTGCGCTCTTCCGCACCCACGGGATCTTCTCCGGGTCGTTCTCGGGGCGCTTCTCCGTTCCTTCCATCACCTCCAGCAGGTCATAGTGATCAAACACGTTCTCCATTTTGAAGGACCACTCAGCAAAGTTGTCACTGTTGAACTTGTCAAGGCCAAACACTCGAGGCTCGTCCCTAGATGGGCCAACACTTGGTTGCACGGGCGCCATGGCTGAGTCATGGGGTTGGCCTTGAGCTTGGGCTTCTCCACTGCCACCAGCACCTCTGCCACCCCTTTCCTAAGGTCCAGCCATTGTCGAAACTGCTCCAAGGGGCTCTCTTACAACTTGTTATAGTCACATTAGACTCCAATATGCCTAAAACGAAAGATAGAGTGCACAATCGGATTTCTACACAGCGGCTTCAAACGTTCATAGCGATCTGCTCACAACTCCAAATGACTTCATCACCCCGCCCCATTCTCCCGATTTCCATCACCCCGCCCCATTCTCCCTCTTTCCATTACCCCGCCCCATTCTCCTGCTTTCCATCACCCCGCCCCATTCTCCCTCTTTCCATCACCCCGCCCCATTCTCCCGCTTTCCATCACCCTGCTCCATTCTCCCGCTTTCCATCACCCCGCCCAATTCTCCCGCTTTCCATCACCCCTCTCCATTCTCCCTCTTTCCATCTCCCCGCCCCATTCTCCCCCTTTCCATCACCCCGTCCAACTCTCCCTCTTTCCGTCACCCCGCCCCATTCTCCCTGTTTCCATCACCTCGCCCCATTCTCCCTCTTTCCATCTCCCCGCCCCATTCTCCCGCTTTCCATCACCCCGCCCCATTCTCCCTCTTTCCATCACCCCACCCCATTCTCCCGCCTTTCATCACCCCGCCCCATTCCTCCCGCTTTCCATCACCCCGCATAATTCTTCCGCTTTCCATCACCGCGCCCCATTCTTCCGCTTTCCATAACCCCGCCCCATTCTCCCGCTTTCCATCACCCCGCCCCAATCTCCTTCATTCCATAACCCCTCCCCATTCTCCCGCTTTCCATCACCCCGCCCCATTCTCCCGCTTTCCATCACCCCGCCCCATTCTCCTTCTTGCCAACACCCCGCCCCGTTCTCCCGCTTTCCATCACCCCGCCCCATTCTCCCGCTTTCCATCACCCTGCCCCATTCTCCCGCTTTCCATCACCCCGCCCCATTCTCCCTCTTTCCATCACCCCGCCCCATTCACCCGCTTTCCATCACCCCGCCCCATTCTCCCGCTTTCCATCACCCCGCCCCATTCTCCCGCTTTCCATCACCCCGTCCCATTCTCCCTCTTTCCATCACCTCGCCCCATTCGCCCGCTTTCCATCACCTCGCCCCATTCTTCCTCTTTCCATCTCCCCGCCCCATTCTCCCTCTTTCCATCACCCCGCCCCATTCTCCCGATTCCCGTCACCCCGCCCCATTCTGACTCTTTCCATCACCCCGCCTCATTCTCCCGATTTCCGTCACCCCGCCCCATTCTCCCTCTTTCCATCACCTCGCCCCATTCTTCCTCTTTCCATCTCCCTGCCCCATTCTCCCTCTCCATCACCCCGCCCCATTCTCCCTCTTTCCATCACCCCGCCCAATTCTCCCTCTTTCCAGCACCCCGCCCCACTCTCCCTCTTTCCATCACCCCGCCCCATTCTCCCGATTTCCGTCATCCTGCCCCATTCTCCCTCTTTCCATCACCCCGCCCCATTCTCCCTCTTTCCATCACCCCAACCCATTCTCCCGCTTTCCATCACCCCGCCCCATTCTCCCTCTTTCCATCACCCCGCCCCATTCTCCCGCTTTCCATAACCCTGCCCCATTCTCCCGATTTCCGTCACCTCGCCCCATTCTCCCTCTTTCCATCACCCCGCCCCATTCTCCCGATTTCCGTCATCCTGCCCCATTCTCCCTCTTTCCATCACCCCGCCCCATTTTCCCTCTTTCCATCACCCCAACCCATTCTCCCGCTTTCCATCACCCCGCCCCGTTCTCCCTCTTTCCATCACCCCGCCCCATTCTCCCGCTTTCCATCACCCCGCCCCATTCTCCCTCCTTCCATCACCCCGCCCCGTTCTCCCGCTTTCCATCACCCCGCCCCATTCTCCTGCTTTCCATCACCTTGCCCCATTCTCCCGCTTTCCATCACCCCGCCCCATTCTCCCGCTTTCCATCACCCTGCCCCATTTTCCCGCTTTCCATCACCCCGCCCCATTCTTCCTCTTTCCATCACCCCGCCCCATTCTCCCGCTTTCCATCAACCCGCCCCATTCTCCCGCTTTTCATCACCCCGCCCAATTCTCCCTCTTTCCATCACCCCTCCCCATTCTCCCTCTTTCCATCACCATGCACCATTCTCCCGATTTCCATCACCCCGCCCCATTCTCCCTCTTTCCATTACCCCGCCCCATTCTCCTGCTTTCCATCACCCCGCCCCATTCTCCCTCTTTCCATCACCCCGCCCCATTCTCCCGCTTTCCATCACCCTGCTCCATTCTCCCGCTTTCCATCACCCCGCCCAATTCTCCCGCTTTCCATCACCCCTCTCCATTCTCCCTCTTTCCATCTCCCCGCCCCGTTCTCCCCCTTTCCATCACCCCGTCCAACTCTCCCTCTTTCCGTCACCCCGCCCCATTCTCCCTGTTTCCATCACCTCGCCCCATTCTCCCTCTTTCCATCTCCCCGCCCCATTCTCCCGCTCTCCATCACCCCGCCCCATTCTCCCTCTTTCCATCACCCCACCCCATTCTCCCGCCTTTCATCACCCCGCCCCATTCCTCCCGCTTTCCATCACCCCGCATAATTCTTCCGCTTTCCATCACCCCCCCCCATTCTTCCGCTTTCCATCACCCCGCCCCATTCTCCCGCTTTCCATCACCCCTCTCCATTCTCCCTCTTTCCATCACCCCACCCCATTCTCCCGCTTTCCATCACCCCGCCCCATTCTCCCTCTTCCATCACCCCGCCCCATTCTCCCGCCTTTCATCACCCCGCCCCATTCTCCCGCTTTCCATCACCCTGCCCAATTCTCCCGCTTTCCATCACCCCGCCCCATTCTCCCGCCTTCCATCACCCCGCCCCATTCTCCCTCTTTCCATCAACCCGCCCCATTCTCACGCTTTCCATGAGCCCGCCCCAATCTCCCTCTTTCAATCACCCCGCCCCATTCTCCCAATTTCCATCACCCCGCCCCATTCTCCGTCTATCCATCAACCCGCCCCATTCTCTCGCTTTCCATCACCCCGCCTTATTCTCCCGTTATCCATCACCCCGCCCCATTATCCCGATTTCCATCACCCCGCCCCATTCTCCCGCTTTCCATCACCCCGCCCCATTCTCCCTCTTTCTTTCACCCCGCCCCATTCTCCCGATTTCCATCACCCTGCCCCATTTTCACTCTTTCCATCACCCCGCTCCATTCTCCCGCTTTCCATCACCCCGCCCAATTCTCCCTCTTTCCATCACCCCTCCCCATTCTTCCTCTTTCCATCACCCCGCCCCATTCTCCCGCTTTCCATCACCCCGCCCCATTCTCCCTCTTTCCATCACCCGGCCCCATTCTCCCTCTTTCCATCACCCCGCCCCATTCTCCCGCTTTCCATCACCCCGCCCCATTCTCCCGCTTTCCATCACCCTGCCCCATTCTCACTCTTTCCATCACCCCTCCCCATTCTCCCTCTTTCCATCACCCCGCCCCATTCTCCCGCCTTCCATCACCCCGCCCCATTCTCCATCTTTTCATCACCCTGCCCAATTCACCGTGTGTTCAACCTACCGTGTCTTCAACCCACCTTGTGTTCAACCCACGGTGTGTTCCACCCACCGTGTGTTCACCGGACCGTGTGTTGAACCCACCATATGTTCAACCAAACGTGTGATCAGCCCACCGTGTGTTCAACCCACTGTGTGTTCAACCCACCGTGTGTTCCACCCACCGTGTGTTCAATGCACCGTGTGTTGAACCCACCGTGTGTTGAACCCACCGTGTGTTCAATCCACCGTGTGTTCAACCCACCGTGTGTTCAACCCACTGTGTATTCCACCCACCGTGTGATCAACCCACCGAGTGTTCAACCCACCATGTGTTCAACCCACCGTGTGTTCCACCCACCGTGTGTTTAACGCACCATGTGTTCAACCCACCGTGTGATCAACCCACCGTGTGTTCAACCCACCGTGTGGTCCACTCACGGTGTGATCAACCCACCGTGTGTTCAACCCACCATGTGTTCAACCCACCGTGTGTTCCACCCACCGTGTGTTCAACACACCGTGTGTTCAACCCACCGTGTGCTCAACCTATCGTGTGTTCAACCCACCGTGTGTTCAACCCACCGTGTGTTCAACCCACCGTGTTTTCAACCCACCATGTGTTCAACCCACTGTATGTTCAACCCACCATGTGTTCAACCCACCGTGTGTTCCACCCACCGTGTGTTGAACCCACAGTGTGTTGAACCCACCGTGTGTTCAACCCACCGTGTGTTCAACCTATCCAGTGTTCAACCCACCGTGTGTTCAACCCACCGTGTGTTCAACGCACCGTGTGTTCAACCCACCGTGTGTTCAACGCACTGTGTGTTCAACCCACCGTGTGTTCAATGCACCGTGTGTTGAACCCACCGTGTGTTGAACCCACCGTGTGTTCAATCCACCGTGTGTTCAACCCACCGTGTGTTCAACCCACTGTGTGTTCCACCCACCGTGTGATCAACCCACCGTGTGTTCAACCCACCATGAGTTCAACCCACCGTGTGTTCCACCCACCGTGTGTTTAACGCACCGTGTGTTCAACCCACCGTGTGATCAACCCACCGTGTGTTCAACCCACCGTGTGGTCCACTCACGGTGTGATCAACCCACCGTGTGTTCAACCCACCATGTGTTCAACCCACCGTGTGTTCCACCCACCGTGTGTTCAACACACCGTGTGTTCAACCCACCGTGTGCTCAACCTATCGTGTGTTCAACCCACCGTGTGTTCAACCCACCGTGTGTTCAACCCACCGTGTGTTCAACCCACCATGTGTTCAACCCACTGTATGTTCAACCCACCATGTGTTCAACCCACCGTGTGTTCCACCCACCGTGTGTTGAACCCACAGTGTGTTGAACCCACCGTGTGTTCAACCCACCGTGTGTTCAACCTATCCAGTGTTCAACCCACCGTGTGTTCAACCCACCGTGTGTTCAACGCACCGTGTGTTCAACCCACCGTGTGTTCAACCCACTGTGTGTTCAACCCACCGTGTGTTCAACCCACCATATGTTCAACCCACCGTGTGTTCAACCCACCGTGTGATCAACCCACCGTGTGATCAACCCACTGTGTGATCAACCCACCGTATGTTCAACCCACCCTGTGTTCAACCCACCGTGTCTTCCACCCACCGTGTGTTCCACCCACCGTGTGTTCAACCCACCGTGTGATCAACCCACTGTGTGTTCAACCCACCGTGTGTTCCACCCACGGTGTGATCAGCCCACCGTGTGTTCAACCCACCATGTGTTCAACCCACCGTGTGTTCCACCCACCGTGTGTTCAACCCACCGTGTGATCAACCCACCGTGTGTTCAACCCACCGTGTGTTCCACCCACGGTGTGATCAACCCACCGTGTGTTCAACCCACCATGTGTTCAACCCACCGTGTGTTCCACCCACCGTGTGTTCAACACACCGTGTGTTCAACCCACCGTGTGCTCAACCTATCGTGTGTTCAACCCACCGTGTGTTGAACCCACCGTGTGTTGAACCCACCGTGTGTTGAACCCACCGTGTGTTCAACCCACCGTGTGTTCAACCTATCGTGTGTTCAACCCACCGTGTGTTCAACCCACCGTGTATTTAACGCACCGTGTGTTCAACCCACCGTGTGTTCAACCCACCGTGTGTTCAACCCACCGTGTGTTCAACCCACCGTGTGTTCAACCCACCGTGTGATCAACCCACCATGTGATCTACCCACCGTGTGATCAACCCACCGTGTGATCAACCCACCGTATGTTCAACCCACCATGTGTTCAACCCACCGTGTGTTCCACCCACCGTGTGTTCAACCCACCGTATGATCAACCCACCATGTGTTCAACCCACCGTGTGTTCCACCCACGGTGTGATCAACCCACCGTATGTTTAACCCACCGTGTGTTCAACCCACCGTGTGTTCCACCCACCGTGTGTTCAACGCACCGTGTGTTCAACCCACCGTGTGTTCCACCCACCGTGTGTTCAACCCACCGTGTGATCAACCCACCGTGTGATCAACCCACCGTATGTTCAACCCACCATGTGTTCAACCCACCGTGTGTTCCACCCACTGTGTGTTCAACTCACCGTGTGATCAACCCACCATGTGATCAACCCACCGTGTGATCAACCCACCGTATGTTCAACCCACCATGTGTTCAACCCACCGTCTGTTCCACCCACTGTGTGTTCAACTCACCGTGTGATCAACCCACCGTGTGTTCAACCCACCGTGTGTTCCACCCACGGTGTGATCAACCCACCGTGTGTTTAACCCACCGTGTGTTCAACCCACTGTGTGTTCAACGCACCGTGTGTTCAACCCACTGTGTGCTCAACCTATTGTGTGTTCAACCCACCGTGTGTTCAACCCACCGTGTGGTCAACCCACCGTGTGTTCAACCCACCGTGTGATCAATCCACCGTGTGTTCAACCCACCGTGTGTTCCACCCACGGTGTGATCAACCCACCGTGTGTTCAACCCACTATGTGTTCAACCCACCGTGTGTTCCACCCACCGTGTGTTCAACACACCGTGTGTTCAACCCACCGTGTGCTCAACCTATCGTGTGTTCAACCCACCGTGTGTTCAACCCACCGTGTGTTCAACCCACCGTGTGTTCAACCCACCGTGTGTTCAACCCACTGTATGTTCAACCCACCATATGTTCAACCCACCGTGTGTTCCACCCACCGTGTGTTGAACCCACCGTGTGTTGAACCCACCGTGTGTTGAACCCACCGTGTGTTCAACCCACCGTGTGTTCAACCTATCGTGTGTTCAACCCACCGTGTGTTCAACCCACCGTGTGTTCAACCCACCGTGTGTTCAACCCACCGTGTGTTCAACCCACCGTATGTTCAACCCACCGTGTGTTCAACCCACCGTGTGTTCAACCCACCGTGTGTTCAACCCACCGTGTGATCAACCCACCGTGTGATCTACCCACCGTGTGATCAACCCACCGTGTGATCAACCCACCGTATGTTCAACCCACCATGTGTTCAACCCACCGTGTGTTCAACCCACCGTGTGATGAACCCACCGTGTGTTCAACCCACCATGTGTTCCACCCACGGTGTGATCAACCCACCGTGTGTTTAACCCACCGTGTGTTCAACCCACCGTGTGTTCAACCCACCGTGTGTTCAACCCGCCATGTGTTCCACCCACGGTGTGATCAACCCACCGTGTTTTTAACCCACGGTGTGATCAACCCACCGTGTGTTCAACCCACCGTGTGTTCCACCCACCGTGTGTTCAACGCACTGTGTGTTCAACCCACCATGTGCTCAACCTATCGTCTGTTCAACCCACCGTGTATTCAACCCACCGTGTGGTCAACCCACCGTGTGTTCAACCCACCGTGTGTTCAACCCACCGTATGTTCAACCCACCATGTGTTCAACCCACCGTGTGTTCCACCCACCGTGTGTTGAACCCACCTTGTCTTGAACGCACCATGTGTTGAACCCACCGTGTGTTCAACCCACCATGTGTTCAACCTATCCTGTGTTCAACCCACCGTGTGTTCAACGCACCGTGTGTTCAACCCACCGTGTGGTCAACCCACCGTGTGTTCAACCCACCGTGTGATCAACCCACTGTGTGATCAACCCACCGTGTGATCAACCCACCGTATGTTCAACCCACCATGTGTTCAACCCACCGTGTGTTGAACCCACCGTGTGTTGAACCCACCGTGTGTTGAACCCACCGCGTGTTCAACCCACCGTGTGTTCAACCTATCGTGTGTTCAACCCATCGTGTGTTCAACCCACCGTGTGTTCGACCCACCGTGTGATCAACCCACTGTGTGATCAACCCACCGTGTGATCAACCCACCGTGTGATCAACCCACCGTGTGATCAACCCACT